AGATCTTTTTTTTTATAATTTTAATTTAGAGGATGAAACAGTTGAGATGGACCAATAGATCCCATGTTGTCCCAAAACGTCATGTTATGTTAACTGACTGAACTGTGTACTGCAATGATAATATTTACAGTTGCATAAAGAAGGTACCTTTATAATAATTCAGTTCCAATAATAATGATATGTTTTGTCTGTTTGTTTGTTTCACATCTTCTTGCTAGGCTACACAATAGACATATGAATACACTATCCCTCATGCTGAACTGATACATTAGAAGGTAGTTGGTCAACAGCACCCACTACCAATTCATAGACTACTCTGGTTAAGTGGAAGGATTTGACTATCACTCTTATACATATATATATTTTAAAACAATTAATAATTCCATTAGTGTTTCAAAATTTCAAATAGCTTTCATCAACAACCATAACAAAATCTAGAAAACCAAAGATGTAAAAGCAACAAACAAACAAACACATCCTACTCTGCAACTTACATTTTTATGTTTATCTTATATATTTCTAAAAGTGAGAACAAAATGAAGTGAAACTCAGTAGGTCTAATTACTATTTACATTTTTGTGACTTGATTTACAGTAATTTCTTCACTTTAAAAGTAAGAACGTATATATACATATTTTGACAGTCCTTACTGTATTGAGTCTATAAGCAGGAGTCCACAAGGAAGGCCCCCCCTGGAATATTAGAAACATAATTCTTGATTCATTCAGCATACGTATATGAATTTTTTATTCAATCCACAATATTACACTACTTTGCCCTACCCCTGGAAAACTTTGCCCCTCCCAGGAAAATTTTTTGTGGAAGCCCATGAGTCTATATGATATATTGTATCATGTATACGTGTATACATTTATTTGTCCTTTCATCCTTTACCTTAGGTTGATTGTCTGATGTCTGTCAAAAATTATAGATATAGGCAACTCCTGAAAATGTATGAGTCACTGTTTTTTTGTTTTAAAAATAAAGAAGATCTGTAAAAATTATAATAAATCTTTCATAAATTTCTATAAACTCTTTTAAAATGAACGTTTAATGATATCATGAGATTATAACAGATTGTTGCTAATATTATCATGATGGAACTGTTGTAAAATTTTTTCTTCTAATTTTGTTATCACTTTTGTTCCATAGTCTACTTGATATCTAGCATTTAGATTATCAAGTATCATGTATTGGCTTCACAGCCTTACAAATCCGTTGAGATTTATTATTTCTAAGTCTAGCTGATTGCATGAAAATGTATAGCATGACCTCTGTTGCTATTGGTAGACAATATGTGAAATGATAGTGTTCAATATTTTAATATTTAATGCAAGATAAAGGATGTTTATTTTGACAGCCCTTACTTTATATCATATCATAAATTATATATCTATAAAATTATAATTTATAGATACATCATACAAGCAACTCCTGAAAATGTGTGGTTACTGTTTTTTGTTTTAAAGATAAAAAAAAATCTGTGAAATGTTATTCGCGATTTATTTGAATAAATAAAGCTCAGCACTGTAGCAAACAGAACAATTTGTAACTACAAATAATTGGGAACTGGATTTTGAGAAAAGTCGAGGAAAACAAGACCAACAAAGATAACGACTGAAAATTAAGATGTACATAGAGTTAAACTGTTCAGACCATTACTGAACAAAATTAGTCAAATGTATGGTTTTAAAGTAATTTTTCAACTCACCCCATTTTTTTCGAGCTCTTTGTTTTACGTTTTTGGTCATCGATTTTAGACGGTGTGCATAAAATGGTGCATACTGTCGACTGAAGCTTCGTTCTTTCAGATAAAACTTTTCTGAATTATTTTTGTAAGAACAATCAGCACGTTCAAATGATGTTTCCAAATTACAGCCATTTCGAGAGCTATCGAGAAGAGCTCCAATTTGACAGTCTCCTTTTGGTAGAATCATTTCTAATTCTTACGTGATAACAAAACACCACCAGTATAACAAGTGTTACTTATAAATAAACACTACTGAGTATTAGTGTATCTGGTTCTCCCGCCAATTTTGAAATATTTATAAGGTGTGATAATAGTAAGAAACTATGTTTTTCAGTTTGTAAATCAGATAAAATGATTGTGTTAGGCAAGATTTAATTTTATTTCGTATTTTGAATTAAATTAAATTTGAAAAGAAACAAATTTACGTTTTGAATAGCTTATTTAAAGTTGTATTTCCTGTTGTTTTTGCTGCACCTCCTTTTTTATAGATTACACTCCTCTTACATTAAAGTAGAAAAATCACGACAGCGAAATATATATAAATGTAAGGATTTTAATGTGTTAATTATAAAAATTTATTCCTTTTTTTTAGGAAAAGAAATTAAACTTTATATTTACAATGATAACAATGGATCCTGATGAACTAAGAAATATGTAGGAATAATTGCGGATTTTAATTTTTCGATTTCTAAGCATGTTTTTCACAGTGAGTCGACGGTGAATTTACGGATTTACAATGCTAAAATCCAAAGTACTGTTACGACTCTGTTCGTTTGTTAATTTTCCGTAGAAATTATTTCCCAGAAGCTTCAGCGATACAAGTCCTTTCTTTAAAAAAACTAGTTTATTCTTTCTCAATACAACTTTACTCGAGTGTTTGCTAGACGCCCTCTATTTTGTATATATAAGACCGGCGAAAAGTGACGGCATAAATAATTGAACAGCAGACAGGGAGATAGAGACAGATAATTGAGTCAAGCCGTAAGTAAAGTGTGTAAATCGTTGTGAATTATAGCGTGTGTTAAGTTAAAGTGACTGTGGAAATTAAGTGTATTGCCTTCAGGAACGTTCGAGATACTCATTACGTATTACCAGCGTCACGTGACTTCCACTGTCGTAACACTATATACGCACATATATACATAAATGATTAAGCTTATCTAAGTCTCTATATGGATCTTGGGAACATTGTTTTTCTTTACTTTCACGCAAAGCTACTCGAAGGTTTTCTTCGGTAGCTGTCCCTAATTTTGGAGTGATAGATTAGAGGGAGGGTAGTTAGTTAACACCGCCAACTTTTGGGCTTCTGTTTACCAACGAATAGTAGGGTTGTCCTATACTTTATGACACCCCACAGTTGAAAAGACTAGCATGTTCGGTTAGAAGTTTGAATCTTCGATTTTCAGATTACCAGTCCAGCGTTCAAACATCAGGCCAGGCCCTTTGGAATAAAATATTTATACTCTGGCATCGTATGTGACAATGTATCAAAATATATTTTATCGTGTAATGTTTATAAAACTACAAAGATAGATTAAGAACGGACAGTATATTCTATAGAAAGTAATAATATAGTGACCCTGGTGAGATAATAAGAGCAGACATTATGAGACTTTATCCTGAATATAGTGTTTGTTGGTTATTAAAAATTATTTTATTAAGTGGATTGAATTGTATCGTCTTAGAGTTAGAGAAATCAACATCCAAGTGACTGTAAAGAAAGTAATTAATTAGATACGGGATTCCAAATACTTTGTATCTGATAATGGACATTAATTTATGGCTCATTTGATGGCCAAAATGTGTAAAGTTATGGAAATTAATGATATTTTTACAACTCCATATCATCCTTAGAATAACATAACACAACAAATAAACATAGTCACAGGTAGAATGATATATGTTTGCTTTCAAAGGAATAATCGAACCTAAGATAATAGTCTACCTGAATTTTCTTTTGCAATTATCATTATTTTTGTGAGTTATTATTAACAACGTTGCTCTTTTGTATTTGAGTTTGATTTGGATATTCAGTTATTTATTCGTAAAGTCCTGGTTAGGCACGTTGTCATTACCGATTAATTCTATTTTGTAAAGCTTGTATTGTGTAGAACATAATTAGTATCTATTTTGTCGTACTCTGATAGTAACGTGGTTGATTTTATATGTCAAATTGCTAACATCGTGCATTTGATAAGCTACAAAAATCTGGAAAGGTCTCATTTAAAGTTGCTCTTTAAATAATGTAATTCTTATCTCATTTGGGCAAACGGAGTATTATCATGTCAGCTTTGCATCATAAAATCAGGTAATACCTGTTTTTGAAAGTCTGGTGTTTCTTTGATCTGCTTGGGCTCTGAGACTTATTCTAAGAGAATTGTCTCCTCAGCTTACTAGCAGCCTTCCTATAGTGGGATATTCATAGGTTTACGGATTTACAATGCTAAAATCTAGGGTTCGATTCCCAGCTGTAGACACAGAAGATAGTCAAATATGGCTTTGCCCTAAAACAAAAAGATATTAGAAGCTATTGATTCCTCACAGTTTTGGCTGTAATTGCTAGCTTGTTTACATCTATAACAGTATTCTCTTTCTGGTATGTCCTATGGTGGGACAGCAGTAAGTCTTCGGACTTGCAACACTACAATGAGGGGTTCGATTCCCTTCGGTGGACACAGCAAATAGCCTGATGTGGTTTTACTATAACAAAAAACGCTTTCTGATATCTTGTGGGAGGAAATTTTATTTCATACAGGATTTTATATGTAGTACATTTGAAACATCTATTGTCTTGTGGTTTATTTTCTCCATTCTGTGTAACTAGTTGTGCAACTAATCCTGTCAGTTCTTTAAGACTATCGTTAGGGAGAGTTGATGTTTCAATGCTACTTGATCTGATCATCCCATAACTTCTAAATGGAGTCTTTAAGATAATCTGTGACTTTAATGGATTCAAATTACATCACTAACTGGAAGGCTTTGTTGCATCATCGAGATCATGTGACTATTCTCACG